CCCTCACCTTTGTAGCCAAGTAAACGCTCAAAGGAAATATATTCTTTAGTTCGTCATCGAAAAGTGCATTGCCCAGAAAATGTAGCATAGCATAGAAACAGACGAGAAGGAATATCTTAAGCAGGTAGAGAGTGTCGATCTCCAAGACGAGGCCGGTGACGTAGAACGCCATGAACGGCATCGCCACCACACACCACCACCTGAACTTCTGCAACATAATTAAAATATCTCATTCTAAAATGAACACATGATTGTGTCTTTGACGAATAAAATAAAATAAAACTGAGTAGTATCATTTTTTTTTTCACCTTTTCGTAAGTAAATCTGCGGAATGCGCTCCTCCTAGTGGTGAGCAGCGCGTGCTCGCGCAGCCTGTCGGCCACCTTGCCGCCGAGCCAGAGGCAGTCGCCCGTCTGCAGCATGCCGGCCGGCGTGGCGCCGCGCACGTTGGCCGCGTCCAGGCTCGCGTTGCCCTGCACACGACACATACTCGCTCTCACCTATCACATTCCCGCATGCATCTACCTTCCTCCAGCTTACTTTCAGTCAAAGTCCCATCAAAATCGGACTACCCATTATAGCATTTGGACAGGGCGGAAATTAAATATAATGTTTTTTATAATGTTCAAAATGACTCATTGACAAACAATTTTATGTTACCGAGTATACTGAGAGCCAATACAGAGATCACTTCTTTAAGTTAAAGAGATTGCGTCTTTTAAGTTGTAGAGGTTTTGGATTCTGAAGGGAACATATTATTTTTGGAAGTTATCGAGGTTGTACTGCAGTAATAAACATTTCCTTACTTGATTCTGTAGGTCATTATTAATTTGGTAAACAGTGGTTCTTTATTTTAACCTATAAGTTATAACTGTGAATATATCAATTCTTACTTCTATGAGAGTGCAAAATCGCACAGATTCACACCTGATTTTACGTAACTACTATCTACTGCTAACTACATTCCTAATTAAGATAAACTATCATATATATAAGTTTGAGTTTTAATGTGACGGTGACAAGGCAAGGTGACTTATCCAACTATATGTGTTATCATGTAAATTTCATAAATCTATGTCTACTGACACCTACTCAATAACAATATAGACAAAATAAAAGAGGGATCTGTTGAAAGTACTCAAGATATTATTTTATTACTTGTTAATTCATATTGTTTGAGAATGCTTATTTTAAATAAAATAAAATATAAATTTAAGTTTCCTCCAAGAACTTAATTTGTAATTTCATATCTATCCTAATATTATAAAGAGAAAAGATTAGTATTTTTGGATATTTGGATTTTTGTATGTATTTGGTTCACACAAAAACTACTGGACATATTTATAAAATCTATCTTTCACTAATTGAAAGGTATTCACTAATATCTGTAACACAGGCTGTATCTGATGATTACTAATGTTTACCAACCATTAACATACAGTGTACTTCTGGACCTGAATGTTTCTCAGTTTACACTGGCTAAACCATTAGAGGTACATAAAGATGATATATGAAAGAATTGTAGAACTCAAAAAGTTTTATTGGTTTCAATGATCCTTATGCAAATAGATGCATTTGTTGTCAGGACTTGCAGATGTGTTGCCTACCCTTAATCAATAGAGAAGGAGATGCACGTAGAGAGGACATTGTCCCCTTTGTATGTGTCTCCTCCACCATCAAAGCCACTTTTTCTTTGTATCCTTTCCACATAAGGAAATGGTGGGAAGGCAAAGGGACTAAAATAGACCTCTAGCACCACACATCAGACTATACACAGAATTGCTCCCACTTTCCGCCTGTCTTCTGTGTGGTTGTGGTATTACAATGGGCGAGCCAACCCATTCATGCAGACGTTAAAGGGGGCTCTAACACTGAAAAAATGTTTTTTTTTAAACACCATGCTGATGAAATTGTGGCAATAGCTAGTACTATGCTATACAGCAGTTAGCTTACTTATCTAACATCTAATTATGGATCTTGATGAAATCTGGCAAAAAAGAATACACAGGCTTTTTTTAATTCAGTGTGGACACTAGTATTACCATGCTTAATAATAGATTTTCTGTTTTGTATTTATTTTACTTACATAAAGAATAAGTGTAGAAATAGCAGTTGTGTTCCGTGCCAGTATAGCCCAATGGAGCGCAGTGTTCCCGTGTGAGCGATCAACAGGAGTTGTGGACGCGCCGAGAGTGAGCAGCAGGCGTGCGGGATCCACGGCGGACACCTTCCAAGCGGCCCACATCAGCGGCGTCATGCCGCCGGCGTCAGGCGCGTCGGGGTCGGCCCCGCGCGCCACCAGGTACGCCACCACCGCCGTGTGTCCGAACTGCGCTGCCAAATGCAGGCAGGCGCAGCCCTCTGCGTCGCGCAGCGTTGGGTCGGCGCCCGCGCGCACCAGCAGCACGGTCGCCTCTAAGTGGCCTTGCCGAGTGGCCCAGTGCAGCGGCGTCGATTGCAATTCACCGCCGACCGCATCCACGATTGCACCTTTCGATAGAAGATATTCTATGATTTCCCGACGGTTGTTAATCGCCGCCCAGTGCAACAAAGTGACAGTTTCGTGGTCCGGCTGATTGACATCCCAGCCTGCTTCTACAAGTTCTTTTACACGACCGAACGCGCCGTATTGTGTAGCTTTAACTATATCGAATCCACTGTAATCTCGTTCGAGTGGCGCGGGCGGGGGCTCGCGCGTAGGCAAGCCCTCGCACTCGCGCTGAGACTTTCCGCATTGCCCGGTGGCAGCCGCACCGCATGTGCTGTCGTACATGGCCGCTACGTGCAACCCGGTGATGAAGACATTGTATATATTTTTTTTTGAGTTAAATAACTTAAATAATTGAAGTTTTTAAGAAAATATTGAAGCAATGAGCGAAGCGAAACAACTGTCACCAAAAACTCAATTGATTGTCATTTTTCATCTTTATAGATTATAATATAATAATAATGGTGCGTTCAAAAGCAACTTAACCTAAACAATGTTTCTAGTGTTTTCTTTTTTCTTAATTAGAACTCTAGTACGAGCCCCGATGCAAAATAGTTCGTCTAGTATGGAAAGTAGTACAAATCATAAATTATAGAAAGTACCTAATGATTGGTAAAAAATTAAGAAAATGTTATAAATAGGAACATTTAACATAGGGTAGATTAGACAGTTTAAGACCAGGGGAGAATTACGGTCCACTTAAGACAAAAACGTATGTTTTGGAGCTCTTACGGAAATTAATAAAAAGTAGACCACTGAAATATGTGCTACAACTAATATGCTAACATTTGACATATAAATTACTAATAGAAAATATGAATTTAAAAAGCCACGGGTTATCTTAATTTATTAGACGTGAAGCTGATAAAAATTGTTAATTTCTTATTATATATGTACATGATTCTTTTGGCACCCGGCAATGAGAAGTGACATATAATGTCAGAGTAATAGTAGCTTGACAGTTCACCATAGATAATACATATATATACTGAGATAGATGCGACACGGCCGTTTCAGTTTTTTATTTCCTCGCCTTGTTCAAGAGATGGCGTATAAGTGCCGCGCTCACCCACACACACGCACACACCCACGCACACTTCAAATGTGTATATTTACATATATTAGGATAAGTGTAAATATCTGCTTAAAATAGAAACCCAAAGTTGGAATTAAATGTTTATTGCGTAACCCCAATTGGTTATATATCATACATTTACATATTTCTATTTTCAATAGTGACGTCCTCGAACAGCGTTTTCCAGATTTTAAATATTTCTATTAAACGGCCAGTCTTAGAGAAACGATGCAGAGAACCTGAAAGCATAACAAATTTTACCATACAACATATTATACGCTACTAATTACCGCCCCCGCAGTTTCACTCGCGTAGCAAACTGTGCATGAGTGAAGCTGCGAGCAGTTAGTCCTTTTAAACATTGTGACAAGGCACTAACAACTCAGCCTGACTAAGTTATAATTTTTACTATAGTATGGGTTACTAATTATCGCCCGCTGATTATGTAGTCACCAACCTCTAATTCTAAATTATATCATTAGGACAATTTGTTCAAATTCGAAAATCACATTGGTACATGGCAGGATTCGAATCAGGACCTGCAGATTCCAAGTCAAGATACTTGACCCCTGAGCCACCTAAGCTCATAGATATAGAAAGGCAACACTCACATTAGACTACTATTATATGCCTCTGGAAAACATACAGCATTGCTTATGAAGATGCGTGTTGTGTCGTTTCTGTCGCGCCTTAATAGATGGCGCTGTGGCGAGACCAGGCTAAACTAACACACGATGTTGAGTGTATTGTCTCGCCACATACATACTTCTCGGGTCGCATACTCTTTGGTTTTGGTTGATGTCTTTGAGTTCGTTGTTATTGTTATCGTTACGTTTCGTAGTAGTCTCTCATTGCGTTGGTCGAGTCGTTCAATTTTGAACAAGGTTTGTCGGAAGTAAACAATGCGTTATATACTTAGCTTGAATTTCGCGGTCATTCACCGTTGACAGGTGTCAACAATGGCGGTTGGTACTCCCTGTATTGTGGCAACCCTTATCGCCAGCTAGGACGAGGCACCCGATGTCATTAGCGGAGCTCATAGTCATAGCGTTGTGTACTTTCGTACATAGCGGTCGTCATTGTACTCAGTATTAATAAATGTTTAACGGATAAACATTTTTTAGTTCTGAATTTAAAAATTCCATTAAAGCATTCTAAAAGTACAGTCAAAGGGTGTCTAAAGTTTCGAAATAGTCGAAAAGTATAGTAAAGGAATTGTTGAGAAAAGTAAAGCCGAGAAGTTGGGTTTAAGCCCGCATACAGCGAGAAGAGTCGTCGTGGCAGAGCAGCAGCATGTCCAATAACGATATAAAAGAGAGGAGCCGGCGAGCAAAGACCATCGGACAATCCTCTCATCCACGTATTTAGGCTCAGGTTAGTGGGTAATACTTATGTCAATATAATGCATTAGTAATGTACCTAAATCTATAAATAACGTAATAAGCTCTAACAGAACGCTTACATAAATAAAATTTTGTTATATTTCGATTTACCTACCCGGTAGGTAATTAGTCCGTCACTATGACTTTAATACCATAGGTCATTACTAAAGTAATGAATATGTTAGTTGTCCAGATTTTTTCATTAAAAATTAACTTACTAAAATGAAAACAAATCGTACATCATCACTGTACAATTTATCTATCATACAGTCGAATGTAAATTTTGATCATAATTACGATTGACTTGTTTCAAAG